AAGTAATGTTTAATAGAAGTAATGTTTAATATAAGTAATGTTTGATAGAAGTCATGTTTAATATAAGTCATGTTTATTATAAGTCATGTTTAATAGAAGTCATGTTTAATAGAAGTCATGTTTTTAAAGTAAAGAAGTTTTCCAGTTGAAAAGTCTCGTGTTACGCAGCTGGGGGCGGCGCCGTGATTCGCTGAGCAGCAGCTCGCGCGCCCTCCCGTTGGCTGCGCTGTACACGTCAGCGTTCAACAAGTTTCGGCCCAGATGTTTCAGCCTCTTCCTGGTGTGAGCGTGTTGACACATCGCCCCTCGTCCCAGTGAGTCCAGGTCCAACGCGAAGCTTACAGCGAACTCCACCTTTTATTTCAACGTCAAACCAGCACGTCGCCCGCTCACTTCGCTCTCTTCTTCCTGTTATCCTCCGCAGGTGCCGAGGACCCGCCGCGGAAGCTCGTTCCAATGACACGGTGTGAAGAAGAGCAGCCGCCGTCACAGACACAAACTTCTGCCATTCGGGTTAGGAAGCGGCCCACGTGACGTCGGACCGTCCCTGACGACGCTGTGATCTTCAGTGCGCGAGGAGGTGGTGTTGCATAGAGATCACAGCGAAGATAAAGGTGAATCTCAACCGCTTCCCCCTCTTCTTCCTTTCAAGTCTGTTTCCACCCTGAGAAAAATGAGGTCTCGACTGATCCGGAGGAACCTGCTGCCGCTGCTGCTCATCTTCTTTGTAGTTCTGGCTGTGATGATTTTATGGATTTTTCTCTTTGGCAATGATGAAAGTGGAACCCGTCACGTGGTTGAGGGAAATGACGGGGAAAAGGTGAAGTTTAACTTTGCTTCTCTGCCAGACTTGTCTCAGTCTGTTTACAACGCTAACTACAAGCAGTATATTCAGAATTCGGACAAGCTCGTGGGTGAGCCTCGTCTGGTGCTGGTCGTGCAGGTCCACAACAGGCCCGAGTACCTCAAGCTCTTCATCAAGTCGCTGAAGGAAATCAAAGAGACTTATGGCTTCCTTGTGATCTTCAGCCATGACTATTTTACAGAGGAAATAAATACGATAGTGCAGGGGATAACTTTCTGCAGGGTACTGCAAATTTATTTCCCTTTCAGCACTCAGCTGTATCCCAATGAGTTTCCCGGGCAGGATCCAAAAGACTGCCCCCGAGACATGTCCAAGGACGACGCTGTGAAAACAGGATGCCTCAACGCGAAACACCCTGACTCCTATGGGCACTACAGGGAAGCCCTCATCACTCAAACCAAACACCACTGGTGGTGGAAAATGCACTTTGTGTGGGAGCGAGTGCAGGTGATGCAGGGCTACAGTGGGTTTGTAGTCTTTCTGGAGGAGGACAACTACATCCTACCTGACTTTTTCTCCTTCTATAAGTCAATGGTAGAGTTCAGGAAGAACAGCTGCCCGGACTGTGACATGCTGGCTCTGGGTAACCACAATGGCATGACTGATTTTGTTAAACTGTCCAATAAGGTTTTGACCACTGGGTGGATGTCCACGAAACACAACATAGGTATGGCCCTCTCCAGGGAGGTGTACTACAAACTGATGGGCTGCAGCCACGTGTTCTGCACCTATGACGACTACAACTGGGACTGGACTCTACAGCACTTGTCAGGAACGTGCATACCAAAGCCCCTCAAAGTGCTTGTCGCGCAGGGCTCCCGGGTTCTTCACACAGGAGACTGTGGCCTTCACCAGAAGGAGGACTGCAGGCCAGAATTGGCTTCACAGATGGCAGAGGAAGGGCTTCAGAGCGCCAAGCATGGCCTTTTTCCTTCATCTCTTGTCCTTACTGGTGCAGAAGCAGCAGTGCACAAGGCACACGTGAAGAATGGAGGATGGGGAGACACTCGTGACCATATTCTATGCAATAACTATGCCAAGCGACTTTGAACTGTACCTTTTCTCATAAGTTGTATTTGGTATTCTGCAAATATGCAATCACACACACTCTTTTCAGGGCTTTAAGGCCATAATGGCTTGTCTTCCAAGAAAGTGAACCAACAATGGTGCATGCACACAGTTTTAACTTTTTTAATCACCAAAGCTGCACTATTGCCAGAGACATTCTGGATTTTGTGTCCTGCTCAGTTTCATGTCATCATGTTTGTTGATCTCTGGGTGTCTCACAAGCCAAAACATCAGGTTAGATTTATTGTAAAGCTCTAGAGAATTAGAATAAACAACCATAACGTTGCGTACACACACTCACACACACACACACACACACACACACACACACACACACACACACACACACACACATACATTTCCT